GCTCGATCCCAGGACCCTGGGATCATGACCTGAGCCGAAGGCAGACGCTTAACGACTGAGCCACCCAGGCGCCCCAATAGCTGAGGTATATTAACAGAATTGGCACTAAAGAGTAAGTTCACTTTTATTTTCTCCAAAATTTAGGGATGGCAGCTAAGTACGAAAGAAGGAATGCGTGCAAGTTACAATTACTGCAGACAGAACTTCTTGTCTGGAAGAGTTCTTCAGGTGAGTTGTTTTTGTGGCAGTTTGTTTTCATTCATTTTTCTATTGTAGCCATACACCAGAGGGTGTTGCAACTTTGTCTCCCTTGTCCTGCCTCACATTAAAAGTATCATTTCTGAAATATGCTTGGCTTTATCCGCCATGTAAAACACACTCCTGTTTTACATCCTCTGACATGAGGCCTTCTGCATTGAACCTTTCAACTGACCCACTTTTCCTCTTTTCAATGAATCTGTGTTTACTTATGTGGAGGATAGGAGAATACGACACTGTGAAGATTACTGCTTACCGGAAGTCAGTTTTTTCAGGAATTCTACCAGGCGTTCTTAACCTGGATCTATAAACCCCTGAAATTATATGCAAAATCAGATGCTTATACATATGTGCTTTATTGTGGAGAGAGGGACCGTAGCTTTCATCATATTCTCAGAGCAGTCTGTGACCATCGCCAAGCTCCTTACCTTCTCCGCAAAAGGAAAGAATGAGTCCTGAACCAGGTTTTGTTCATTTTCCTTATGTCCATCAGAGGCTGAGATGTCAATAATGAGTGTACAAGAAAGAGAAGCTTTCTCTTCTTCTGGGCCATAGTGGAGAGGGCTCTGTCCTCTGTTGGGACAGTGTTGTTGGCACCTTTCCACAGCGGTAGGAGAAGCCAGAGTAATGGCGGTACACAGCTTTGTAAAGCATCTGTTTTACTCAGAGATTTTCGGGCTGGGGAAAGGGAAGGACTTTGCTTTCCTATTAAAAGATGTCCTAGAATAGAACACAAAATTAATGTCCTTAGTGCTTACCCCTACCTGACATTTATTTATCTCTCTATCCCACAAGCTCCCTCAGAGCCGAGACCTTACCGTGTTGTTCGACAGTGTATCCCCAGTGCCAGGAACGGTGCTTAGCACCAGCTGACGCTCAGTAAAGACTCACTGAAGAAACGCAGAAGTGAATGAATTGGTTGTTTAAAATGAGGGGCGCCTGGGTGGCTCGGTCGGTTAAGCATCTGCCTTCGGCTCAGGTCATGATCCCGGGGTCCTGGGATGGAGCCCCGCATCGGGCTCCCTGCTCCGTGAAGGGCCTGCTTCTCCCTCCCACACTCCCCCTGCTTGTGTTCCCTCTCTCGCTGTGTCTCTCTCTGTCAAATAAATAAATAAAATCTTGAAGGAAAAAAAAGAAAGAAACCTCAGGTAAAATGTGCCCTTCAAACCTGGTTTTCCTCATTTAGGTATCTCCCTGGGATAAAAAAGAGGAAGCTAACCAGAAAAAGCTAGAATTTGCATTTGCAAACAGCGACTATCTGGCTCTTCTACGAGCATATAAGGTAAGTATATAACTTAATAGCTGAGGTATGTATATATATATATTTTTAAAGATTTTTATTTATTCATTTGACAGAGAGAGACACAGCGAGAGAGGGAACACAAGCAGGGGGAGAGGGAGAAGCAGGCTTCCCACTGAGCAGGGAGCCCGATGTGGGGCTCGATCCCAGGACCCCGGGATCATGACCCGAGCTGAAAGCAGATGCTTAATGACTGAGCCACCCAGGCACCCCTAAAAAATGTTCTTTATTGCTATTTTTTTCTAGTCCAGAATCCAACCCACAATTACATATTGCATTCGTTGTTATGTGTCTTTAGTTTCTTTTGATCTGGAAAAACTCCCCAGCCTGTATTTTTCTTTTAAGATCTTGACATTTTTTGGAGTTTGGGCTAGTTATTTTATAGAATGTCCCTCCATTTGGTTTTGTCTAATGTTTCCCCAGGATTAAATTTAGGTTAGAAAACCTAACCTTTTGGGTTTCATTTTTGGTTAGAAAACCACAGAAACAATTTTGAGTCCTTCTCGGTACATCATATCAGGAGGCATAGGATTTTGGTTTGTCCCATTATTGGCGGTGTTATTTTTGATCACTTGGTTAGGGTGATGTCGGCTAGGTGTCTCCCCTGTGTGGTTACTGTTTGTTCCCTTTATAGTTAATAAGTCATTTGTGGAGAGAGATTTGAGACTATTTAAATATCCTATAATATCCTTAAAATTTTATCCACTAGTTTTAGCATTACTCATGGGCTTTTCAAATAACATCTTTTGTGGGGCCACCCTGTGCTGAGCATTTTTATATATGTTGTTAGGTGCTCCCTCCTTCTGTGCCAGACCCCACCTAACTGTTCTTTGTTCCTAGATAGTCTTCTATACAGATAAGCTGGGCTGAACACATAGAAACCCCAAGGGTACTACTTCTGCTTTCTTCCCTAAAGCCTACACCAGAGACAGGTCTCAGCTGCCCTTCCTGCTCTCTTCCCTGGACTGCCACCCCACTCCTCTTAGCCTTTTGGGGGGAAAAAAAAGGTATTTACCTTCCAAGGAGTAAGAGCCTCTAATTCCCTGTTACTGCTTCTATGGGAGAAGAGACAAGTGAGTTTTCCTTTTTCTCCTTCCTCTGAAGACTATATTCCCAGTCCTGCATGGGCAATGGTAATCATCCAGGAATTAAGGTATTAGCTAGCATTCTGCTGTTTAGGAAGGTATGCATAGCTCCTAAACATTATTTCACTTAACCTTCCTAACATCCTGAGAAGTAAGGTTGAGAGCATAGACTTGCATCAGATAGACTTGGGTTCAACTTGCTCACTCACTCAGAGTTCCTTGAGCAAGTTCTTTGTCCTCTCCATACCTGTTTCCTTAGCAATAAAATGGAGTTGTTTAGGGAATTAAATGAGATAATACAAATCCATAGCACGGTGCCCAGCTAGTGAGTGCACATTTGTAATTCTAATTAAACTATGTCTGAGTCAAAAATTTGTGTTCTTTCTGTACATCACACCAGCTGATAATTCCCATTTCCTTATTCTATTAAATTATTTCAGAAATTTCAGAATTTTCTTTAAAAATTATGACTGGGAGTGCCAGTTGTTAAGCGTCTGCCTTTGGCTCAGGTCATGATCTCAGAGTCCTGGGATCGAGCCCCGCATCGGGCTCCCTGCTCCGCGGGAAGCCTGCTTCTCCCTATCCCTCTGCTGCTCCCTCTGCTTATGCTCCCCACCCATCCCTGTCAAATAAATAAATAAAATCTTTTTAAAAAATAAAAATTATGACTGGATGGGGCGCCTGGGTGGCTCAGTAGGCTAAGCATCCAACCCTTGATTTTAGTTCAAGTCATGATCTCAGGGTTGTGAGATTAAGTTTCATGCCGGGCTCTACATTCAGCGTGGAGGCTGCTTGAGATTCTCCTTCCCTCTCCCTCTGTCCCTCCCCCCACTTGTGCTGTCTATCTCTCTCTAAAAGAAATAAATAAAATCTTTTTTAAAATAAATAAAAATTATGCCTGGATCGAAGCCAGGCCTTTCTAATTTCAAGCACACAGGTTACCAAAGTTCAGAAAGCACTTCTGAGAGCTTCTTTCTGAAGGAGGAGGATGGAAGATTTGTGGTCAAGAAACCCGGCTCTGCCAGTAGCTTCTGTCTGGTAGTGGACAGACCGCTCCCTGTTCCAAGAAAAGACCGGGGCTGGTTGATCTCAAGGCTCTCTCCTCAGAAAATTAAATAATGTTTCTGAGCTCAATTTTTAAAACTTTTTCTAGTTAGATAATAATAATAGTCAGTCCTTTTAAGTGTATAATTGATTAGCAAAAACTGCCAAACTATTAAAAGTTTTTTAAAAATTACATTCACTCTCTTTTTTAGTGTTAGCTAATCCTTCTCCTTTTTGAAAAGTCTGCTTTTTGGAATCTTGACATATAAAAATGATTCCTTCTCTGCCCTCCACACCCAACCACATCCTTTCTTTTCATGTTTGACCAACATAGGGTTCACACTGCCAGAACAACATTGTTTAAAACTGCTTTTGCCCCTCTTCAAACTTCAGCATAATATAGGAAGCTTCCCTTCCTTCATATCACCTGCAGCTATTTTGTTCCAGGTAGACTATTCAGGGCGATGGGCTATTAAGAGGACCTGAGAAGAAAGGCCAGCGGTCTTTGGAGAGTTAGTCTCCCCAAGAATATGCTATTTGTTTTGAAAAGAGCTCAGGCACACAGTATAGCCCAAAGAACTGTATCTGTCACTAGGCCTCAGATAAATTAAAAAGGGACTGGAGACCTTAACCTGAAAGTCTGTGACTAGAATTCAGGGGTTGTTGGTGAAGCCATTAAAATCACATGTATTTTTCAGGGAAGATCCAGAACTTTTGTCCTTTTCTCAAAGGAACCTAAAGGTTAAGAGTCACTGTCGTGAAGTTGTTGGTAAAAGCTGTGGTCTCTGTTGATTTCCCTGGATCACTGTTACCTGGACTTCCATCTGATCTGACTCATGTCTTGATTGAATCTGGAAGGGCTTTCTAAAGTGTATTTGACTTTGAATTTTGTTTCTAGGATTTAAATTGTCAATAAATGTATGATGGAGAAAAGAGGGAGGGAAGAAAGAAAAACGTGGCCGATCTGGGCCTTTCCAGCAGGGTCAGGTGCCTGTTCTTTGAGTCATTGTTCAACAAAAAGTGCTCCTCGTAAACATGTATTTTCTGAGAGACTGAAAGAAAACGATTCATTTCGGTGCATAAATGTGAACATCTGTGTCATTAAATCAAGAGACTCACCTAGTTCACAGGCATCATTGTCTTTAATAAGGTATAATTATCCTTCTGATTTTTACCTTTCTTTCAGGGGTTAGCAAATCGGTCATCAAAACAATGTCCATCATGGATTTCGAAAAGGTGAATCTTCAATTAATAGAGGCCTTGTTAGAGTGGATTGTAGATGGAAAGCACTCCTACCCTCCAGGTAACCGCTTCTTGTCTTTGTTTGTAAGACGGCAAAAGGGAAGATAGTTCACTCACTGAGATAGAGTGGGTGCTGTGGGGGCAGCCTCCCTTCCTGGAACCCTTGCCCCCACCCTTACTTTTTCACCCCCAATTGCATATAAGGTTGCTTATTAGGCTTTTCAGGGGGAAATTTTACCTTTTACTTTTTGAGGTTCACCAACTCCTTTTTGTTCAGCACTCTTTTGTTTCCCACTGAGCAAAAAGATGTTAACAATACAAAGTCCAAAAGGACGAAAGCTGAAAAGAAGGCCTGGGTGATCCACATAGTAAACACTCAGCCCCGGGCTAAATGGGAGTCTGGTAATGAGTGTTTGAATCCCATGAAGACTGTGTACATGGAGGTCACAGGGCAGGAGGGTTAAAAGAACCGGCTTTGGAGTCTGATAAACTTCTAGCTCTGCTACTCAGGAACGTGTAGTCTTGGATAAAGTCCTTATCCTTGCTCTGCCTCAGTTTCCTTGTTTGTGAAATGAAGACAATCATAATTCCTCTGACATAGCTATTTTTAGGATTAAAAGAAACCATATGTGGGGGCGCCTGGCTGGCTCAGTCAGTGGAACATGTGACTCTTGATCTCAGGATTATGAGTTTGAGCCCCGTGTTGGGTGTAGAGATTACTTAAAAATAAAATCTTTTTTAAAAAGTAAGAAAGACATCAAAAACTAATGATGTATGGTGATTAACATAACATAATAATTAAAAAAATTAAAAAGTGAGAAAGAAACCATATGTAAAGCACTTAGCATGGTGCCTGGCATATAGCATCTACTACCCCTAATAATGGTAACATTATAATTATAACATACATCGTCGTTATTATTGCTGAGATCACTGTTACTCCTGCTACTGCTTTCCCCTTGCTGGCTGTCTTCCCATCCCAGTGGCCTTCTTAACCTCACTTGCAGTCCTTTATCCCCCAAGTCTTCTCATTACTGAATCCTTCCCATCACTCAGGTTTCTGTCAAATATCTTCTCTTCAGAGAAGTCTTCTCTGACCACCATATCTGTTTTCTCACCACCTACCCCTTAACTCTAGCATGATATCCAAAAGTGATTTTCACTTTCAATATAGCACTTCACAATATCCAGAATTATAGTTCTGCTTACTGACAGTTTCCTTCAATAGAATGCAAACTCCTTAAGAATAAGGATTTATCATGCACCAGTGTGTTCCTCAGACCCTAGGACGGCAGCTGGAATATTTAGGTACAGAGTAAATATTTGTCACATGAATAGATGCATCCATTGTTGGGTGATCGTAAGTTGATCAAACAGTTCCATCATGTGCTGACCTCGCAGTGCTTTAGAGAAGTGGGAATGGCTGCCCTCCTCTGCATAGACTGTAATCATTACGTGGTATTTTCTGTAGAGCCGTATGAGCCACATGAAAGGATTGAAGTTTGTTATGTCTTGGCAAGTAGTCAGTGTCAGCTAATGCATTATCACTGGGCTGAATGTCTTGTTTCATCCCAAAGGAAAAGATGATTGTTGAAAAACATCAGGCATGGCAGACAAAAAGAACTGTTAGAAAATTACGTGAATTCAGAGGGGGACTACCCTGCCCTAGGTGTGCGGGGTGGGTCGTGTGGGGTGGGTGTCTTTATGATAATCACCTGTGACCAACAAAAGACTAACCAGCCCCTAAAAAGGAAGTAAGCCATTGAAGGTGTTATCAATAGAGATGTTAAAAGAATTTAAGTTCCCTGGTTAGCTTTCTATAAAAGACCAACCCTAAAGGCCCTCGTTGGCAACCCTGTCGCAACCCTGTCAGGGCGCTCGCACTCTTGAGAGCTTTTTCTGTATCTTCACTTAATAAACTTCTATTCCTTTACTCACCAAAAAAAAAAAAAAGAAAGAAAGAAAAGAAAAAGAAAATTACCTGAATTGGTAATTACCTGAATTCAAAACAGAGTAAATATAGTGAGTAGGGACTCTGATAGATTTGTGAATACTAAAGATATCCCTGATATAGGGGTGCCTGGCTGGCTCAGTCGGTAAAGCTTGTGACTCTTGATCTCAGCGTTGTGATCAAGCCCCAGGTTGGGTGTAGAGTTTACTAACATAATAATAAAAAAAAGAAAAGAAAAAAAATAAATAAACCTGAAAAAAAAAAAAAGTATTCCCAATACAGCTGGCCAAGCTGTGAGGGCAGAGCAGATCAGGAGGCACATAAAAATATAGACAGGGGTGCCTGGGTGGCTCAGTCATTGAGCGTCTGCCTTCGGCTCAGGTCATGATCCCAGTGTCCTGGGATCGAGCCCCGCGTCGGGCTCCCTGCTCAGCGGGAAGCCTGCTTCTCCCTCTCCCACTCCCCCTGCTTGTGTTCCCTCTCTCGCTGTGTCTCTGTCAAATAAATAAATAAAATCTTTAAAAAAAAAAATAGACAAAAAAATTTTTCCCATCCATATGTTTATTTTATCACTCTTTTTTTTTTTTAAACATTTGATTTATTTATGGGGTGCCTGGGTGGCACAGTCAGTTAAACAACTGACTCTTCATTTCAGCTCAGGTTGTGATGTCAGCGTTGTGACATGGAGCATCTCCAATAAATAAATGAAATCTTAAAAAAAAAAGATTGATTTATTTATTTTAAAGCGAGAGCATGGGGAAGATGGGGGTTGGACAGAAGGAGAGGGAGAGAGAAACTTAAGCAGACTCCCCGCTGAGCAAGGAGCCTATCGAGGGGCTCGAGATCACAACCCTGAGATCATGACCTGAGCCAATTTTACCACTCTTAAATTTTGTGGTATTTTAGTAGAGAGGAAGACGGAACGTGTAATGGAAAGAGCATGGGTTTGGTGCCCGAAACCTTAGGTTTGTGTCAGGCCCCATTCTTAAGTAACACTGTCGCCTGGCCAAGTTACTGAGTCACTTTGAAAGTACTAATAACCTTAATGGGTGGTTGTGAGGATCAAATGAGATAGTGTATGTAAACATGCTTTGTATACTATGAAGTGTTGAAACTAACCCTCAAAGATATCTTTTGCCTCCTTCAGGGTTCCATTTTTGTAATGATTTCGTTTCCTTATTTACTTCGTTGGGAGAATAACTGTGATAAATAATAGGTCCTGTGTTCCTTGTGGGCAGGTCTTCGGTTTATAGTTCACTGTACCCAGCACAGAGCTGACATAGGCACCCAATAAATATTTGTGGGATTAAAGGAGGGGCTAGTGAGGATGGTGTCAATTTCCTCTCGGGATAAAGCACAAAAGAAGGTGACTTGCTGAGTGCCCACTCTTGGCACGGAAATATTCTATTTTTAGTTATCACTGTTTATTTTCTTTAATGTAAAATTTAAAAGCCCATAAACTGTTAATATGTCATGGTTAGTTAATGTGCTGCCTCTCCACCATATATCTGAATTTAGATTTTCAGGTTGGCCAGCCAATTGTATTTTCTTTTTCTCATTTCTAGTGAAATGTTTATGGATTTTATTTACTAATAGAAGAGTCTTCCTGTCTTACAAGATTAGCAGGATAACTCTTCCTAGAAAAACAATGTCAGTGCCTGGTGCACAGTAGAAGTATGTTTAAAGAGCTTCGCTAATGATTCTTGTATAACTTAAGGTATTATATTTTTCTACACTTCAGTTTTTCCTCTTGTGGAAAGATAATAATACTCCATTCATTTTGGAGTTAAGTCAGAAAATGTATGAAAAACACTGCTATCCATTTAAGTCCCTGGGGACTTTACAAAGAAAATTGCCAGTGGAAAAAAATCTCAGATTATTACATTTTTAAAAATTTAAAATAGCTCTATAGTCCATATTAGTTTTTCCTTTTTTGCATCTATCACATTGATTCTTTTTATGTACCCAGGTGCTATACTTGTATTTTTACCGGGACTAGCAGAAATCAAAATGCTATATGAACAGCTACAATCTAATTCTCTTTTCAACAATAGACGCAGTCATCGGTAAGTTAATTGCTTTCCATATCCTTAACCATCTGTTGCAGGTACATGCAAAGATGACTAACCAGAACGGTCTCTGACAGCCATCACCCTCTTTAGACCCTGGTGTCACTCCTCAAGAATATGTTTGTGTATGCCAGCTGGAAGGAGACAGACCTATCTGTTCCAGGGAAGCAATCATTCCCATTCCATTAAATAAAAATATTTCTCTTCACTTAGCGTAGTGACTCAGCAAAATTGCCTGTGATTTCAGTTGCCACGTAGGGGGCATGGGAGAAGCCAGTGTGAGTAACAGCAAAGAAATGCTGCCATTTGAGAAAAAAGTAATTTGTAACAGTTTCTCTTCCAGTAGCAAGTCGTGTGTTTTCATACCCAAGGGGACAAGTCCTGAAGGGTTAAACGCTCCCTAGAAATACAAGAACGAAGCCTCTGAGCATACATCACTGCCTCTTATTCTCTGCATTTAAAGACAGAGGAAAAACAATTCTCTACTGTTAGTGTGCTCTAGGCTTGTTACTTGTAGAATAGCAACTATAGTCCTTCTTGATCATTTACTACTGAGTTACCCTCCAGTTTTTCCCAAGGTGGTGCGAGGTTTCTAGTTCATAGAACTGAGTTCATGTTTTGTAAGGCTTGGAAGGAACCTTCCCATTTAGAAGGAAGCTGCTGATACTTGGAGTCCTGTTGCTAGTTGAAATAGAAATTCACCCACCATGAATCCAATTTCAGCCTTTAGTGCTAGGACACTAAATGTGCTTCTCTTTCCTTTCAGATGTGTGGTTCACCCACTTCATTCATCTTTATCCAGTGAAGAGCAGCAGGCGGTGTTTGTAAAACCCCCTGTGGGTGTAACAAAGATTATAATTTCCACCAACATTGCTGAGACATCCATAACCATCGACGATGTTGTCTATGTCATTGATTCTGGGAAAATGAAAGAGAAGAGGTATTCTCCTTTGGCCCAGTAGAGGAGGGTTAAAGATGCCTCAGTGAGAGTGACATGTCAATGACGATGCTCTTGAGCGACACGGATTGCCGTTTGAAAAATGTTTTAGGAAAACTACGTGGGTATATATGAGTGATTCTGTACCGGGGCCCTAGTCTCAAAGTCAAATGGTGGTGGAAAGTTTTCAGGTTTTACCTTGGAAGTAATTATTTTTCCTCTCTTTTTTCCATACGCTTTACATGTGCTTGAGTGAAAAAGAGGTGATCTAGGTGGTGATGGATGTGTTCATTAGTTTGATGGCAGTAACCATTTCACAGTGTACGCATTTATCAAAACATCACATTGTACACCTTAAGTATATACAGTTTTTATTTGTCAAATAAATACAAAAGAAAGAAAAAGAAAAAAAGAAAAAGTCGCATAAAGGAACTGTATGTAGTTCACCAACATTTGATGCCACTGAAATTCGCGCTGTGTGCTCCCACCGCAGACTGAACTACCCGAGAACACACAGGACACTTGTCCTTTGGTGGAAGTAAGGTAGTGCATCTGTTCTGTCCATGCTAAGCAGGGTCTTAGCCATGTTTTTATAGAATAATTCCTTTTTCCATTTTCTTTTTCTCTGTAGATATGACGCCAGCAAAGGGATGGAGAGCCTAGAGGATACTTTTGTCTCTCAAGCCAATGCTCTGCAGAGAAAGGGTCGAGCGGGCCGGGTTGCCTCTGGGGTCTGCTTCCACTTATTCACCAGCCATCACTTCAATCACCAGCTGTTAAAGCAGCAGCTGCCAGAGATCCAAAGAGTGCCGTTGGAACAGCTGTGTCTGAGGTACACCTTGATCTTTGTGTTCTGGCTTCCAGAAGGTCTACATGTTTCTCACCCGAAGTCCCGTGGGTTCTTCTTCTTAGTAGGAGACATTTTGCTGAGAGTGGACATGGATGAATTCACTCATTTGCAAAGGAAGAGCTCTTCAGTGTTGCCTTTACCATTCGTGTTAACTTTCTGCACATGAAGATCTCTTACATTGCAAAGAATGGCCCTAAAATAGAGCTTAAGAATACATTTGTAACTCAGGAAAGTAATCTAACTTATAAAGAAATTTCTGCTAGGGGCAACACCAATATTAAATCATAAAAGGCAAAAAGATCTACAGCCTCATTATCAGAGCAAAGTGAACAAAAACAACTTGAGAAACACCCTTACTTACCTGATGAACAAAAAACAAATTTCATAAAATAGGATTTAATGAATGAATGATTGAACTCAGTGTTATTGAAGCTGGGCAACCTTTGGTTCAACCTTTCTGAAAATGTGGTTGGCATTAGTAAGAACCCATGCCCTCTGACCCAGTCACTGCTTTGAGGGAGTATGCCCATAAAATAATAACCCAAAGCAAAAAGTTACTAGTACAAAGAAGTTATAGCTCTCCTTTTATCCAGCAGGTATATTTTGAAAGCCTTCCATTTGCCAGGGGTTGAGCTAAGCACTAGAGATAGGATACAAGACTCAGGCCCTGCTTTTAAGTGTCCACAGTCAGGTCTTAAGAAGTTGGGCAAGCAGTTGCTTTGAACTAAGGTAGTAACAGTGCAAATGAAGAGGAGCGGAGAGATCTGAGAAAGTTTTGGAAGTTGAATGACCCATGAGGGAGGATGAGAGAGGGGAAAATGTAACTACATGGTACATATGATTTAAAAACAGTTCAGGGGCACCTGGGTGGCTTAGTCAGTTGGGTGTCCAACTCTTGATTTCGGCTCAGGTCGTGATCTCGGGGTGGGAAGATCGAGCCCCACTTCGGGCTCTATGCTCAGCTCAGAGTCTGCTTAAGATTCTCTCTCTCCCTCTTCTGCTGCCCCTCCCCCCCCAAAAGAAAAAGAAAATGTATTTAGCATTGTCTGGCTTATGAAAGCGTATGTCTGGGAAATTACCAACTATTTTCATTCAAGAAAGAAGCTTACTCCTCTGTGTCATCTCTCCAGAAATAAAATGGACAAATTACTATTTTGTTTTCTTTTTGTAGAATTAAAATTTTAGAGATGTTTAGCACTCACAATCTCCAGTCTGTGTTCTCTCGGCTCATTGAGCCGCCACACACTGACTCTCTCCGTGCCTCAAAAATACGATTACGAGACTTAGGAGCGTTAACTCCAGATGAAAAGCTGACCCCCCTAGGGTATCACTTGGCCTCTCTGCCCGTGGATGTGAGAATCGGCAAACTGATGCTGTTTGGGTCTATCTTCCGCTGTCTGGATCCTGCCCTCACCATTGCTGCCAGTTTGGCTTTTAAGTCTCCTTTTGTAAGTAAACAACATTCATCTAAACTGGAGTCCAGAGGTCTCTAAGGGGACCATGGGGGGATTCAGGGTTATGTGAGCCTGCCCACACATTTTCTTATGAGGATGATAGATGGGAAGTCTTAGGTCGCAATGTCTGTAACTTTTGTCTGATCCTCAAAGAAATCCATGCCTCAAATAAAGATTAAGAACTGAAGATCCAACTTATTGAAATAACCTAAATGTGCTTTTTATTGTATCTGCTCCACCATGCTCATTAAAGAAAAATCAGAAAATGCAAGCAAGCAAAAGTGCCCCAGCATGATTTTAACAGGCAGTAAATACATTGGACCACTTTTTTTTTAACAGCTTTATTGAAATATAATTCGCCCATTTAAATTGTACATTCAGTAATTTTGTGTGGTCCTCATCATGGTCAGTTTTAGAACATTTCTGTGACCTCATTAAGAAACCCCTTAGCAGTCACTCCCCTTCCCCCCTCTAATTCCTCATCCACCACAGCCCTAGGCAACCACCAGTTTGCTTTCTGTCTTCATAGATTTACCTCTTCCAGACATTTCACATTAATGAAATAATAAAATATATGGTCTTTTGTGACTGGCTTCTTCACTTAGCATAATGCTTTTAAGGTGCATCTATGTTACAGCGTAGTAACATAGGTAACATATGCACTATAACATAGTAACAGATCAGTACTCTGTTCCTTTGCCAAATAATATCCTTTATATGGACGTACCACATGTTGTTTATCCGTTCAGCACTGGATGGACATTTGGGATTGTTTCCACCTTTGCTGGTAAACATTCATGTACAAGTTTTTATGTAGACATATGTTTTCATTTGTCTTGGGTATATACCTAGGAGTAAAATTACTGGATCAAATAGTAACTCTATATTTAACTTTCTGAGGAACTTCCAGTTCTTTTTCCAGAGTAGCTGCACATTACATTCTGCCAACCTTTTATCAGGGTTGCAATTTCTCCCCATCTTCACCAACACTTGTTATTATCTGACTTTTTTATTATAATCATCCTAGGGGGTGTGAATTTGTAGTTTCGACTTGTGTTTCCCTGATGGCTAATGATAGTAAACATCTTTTCATTTGCTTATTTCCCATTTGTATATCTTCTTTCAAGAAATGTCTATTCAGATCCTTTGCCCATTTCTTAATTGGGTTATTCATCTTTTAATATTGATTTGTAAGAGTTGTTTATATATTCTGGATACAGGTCCCTTATGAGAAATATGATCTGCAAATATTTTCTCCCATTCTCTGGGTTACCTTTTTCACTTTCTTGATATGTCCTTTGAAACACTAAAGGTATTAATTTTGATTAAGTCCAGTTTATCCACTTTTTTGTTCCTTGAGCTTCCATTGTCATAGTTAAGAATCTTAAAAACAAAAAAAATAGACCCCATTGCCAAAATGGCTGAAGGGGAGTGGAAGATACAGGCTTCCAGTTATAGAATGAATAACTCATGGGAATAAAAGGCACAGCATAAAGAATATAGTCAGCAATATTGTAATAGTGTTGTATGATGACAGATGGTAGCTACCCTTGTGAGCATAGCATAATGTATCAATTACTGACTTGTCAAATCGCTATGTTGTATACCTGAAACTAATGTAACATTGTGTGTCAACTACACTCAAAAAAAATCCATTGCCAGATCCAAAGTTAATGAAGCTTTATTCCATTTATCTCTGTTTTTTCTAAGTTTTATAGTTTTATTTTTATTTATTTTTTAGTGGGGGTGGGGTAAGGGGCAGAGGGAGAGGGAGTATCTTAAGCAGACTCCACGCTCAGCATGGAGCCTGACGTGGGGCTCGATCTCACAACCCTGAGATCATGACCTGAGCCGAAATCAAGAGTCGGACACCCAACCACCTGAGCCACCCAGGCACCCCATAAGAGTTTTATAGTTTTTGCTCTTACATTAAGGTCTTTGGTCTATTTTGAGTTAATTTTTGTAAATGGCATGAGGTAAGAGTCCAACTTCATTCTTTTGCATATGACTATTCAGTTGTCCCAGTACTATTTGTTGAAAAGACTGTTCTTTCACCATTGAATGGTCTTGGCATTCTTGTCAAAAATCATGGGGCCCCTGGCTGGCTCAGTCCGTGGAGCATGCAACTCTTGATCTCAGGGTTGTAAGTTCGAACCCCACATTGGGTATAGAGATTATTTAAAAATAAAATCTTGAAGGAAAAAAAAGAAAGAAACCTCAGGTAAAATGTGCCCTTCAAACCTGGTTTTCCTCATTTAGGTATCTCCCTGGGATAAAAAAGAGGAAGCTAACCAGAAAAAGCTAGAATTTGCATTTGCAAACAGCGACTATCTGGCTCTTCTACGAGCATATAAGGTAAGTATATAACTTAATAGCTGAGGTATGTATATATATATATTTTTAAAGATTTTTATTTATTCATTTGACAGAGAGAGACACAGCGAGAGAGGGAACACAAGCAGGGGGAGAGGGAGAGGGAGAAGCAGGCCTCCCACAGAGCAGGGAGCCCGATGCGGGGCTCGATCCCAGGACCCTGGGATCATGACCTGAGCCGAAGGCAGACGCTTAACGACTGAGCCACCCAGGCGCCCCAATAGCTGAGGTATATTAACAGAATTGGCACTAAAGAGTAAGTTCACTTTTATTTTCTCCAAAATTTAGGGATGGCAGCTAAGTACGAAAGAAGGAATGCGTGCAAGTTACAATTACTGCAGACAGAACTTCTTGTCTGGAAGAGTTCTTCAGGTGAGTTGTTTTTGTGGCAGTTTGTTTTCATTCATTTTTCTATTGTAGCCATACACCAGAGGGTGTTGCAACTTTGTCTCCCTTGTCCTGCCTCACATTAAAAGTATCATTTCTGAAATATGCTTGGCTTTATCCGCCATGTAAAACACACTCCTGTTTTACATCCTCTGACATGAGGCCTTCTGCACTGAACCTTTCAACTGACCCACTTTTCCTCTTTTCAATGAATCTGTGTTTACTTATGTGGAGGATAGGAGAATACGACACTGTGAAGATTACTGCTTACCGGAAGTCAGTTTTTTCAGGAATTCTACCAGGCGTTCTTAACCTGGATCTATAAACCCCTGAAATTATATGCAAAATCAGATGCTTATACATATGTGCTTTATTGTGGAGAGAGGGACCGTAGCTTTCATCATATTCTCAGAGCAGTCTGTGACCATCGCCAAGCTCCTTACCTTCTCCGCAAAAGGAAAGAATGAGTCCTGAACCAGGTTTTGTTCATTTTCCTTATGTCCATCAGAGGCTGAGATGTCAATAATGAGTGTACAAGAAAGAGAAGCTTTCTCTTCTTCTGGGCCATAGTGGAGAGGGCTCTGTCCTCTGTTGGGACAGTGTTGTTGGCACCTTTCCACAGCGGTAGGAGAAGCCAGAGTAATGGCGGTACACAGCTTTGTAAAGCATCTGTTTTACTCAGAGATTTTCGGGCTGGGGAAAGGGAAGGACTTTGCTTTCCTATTAAAAGATGTCCTAGAATAGAACACAAAATTAATGTCCTTAGTGCTTACCCCTACCTGACATTTATTTATCTCTCTATCCCACAAGCTCCCTCAGAGCCGAGACCTTACCGTGTTGTTCGACAGTGTATCCCCAGTGCCAGGAACGGTGCTTAGCACCAGCTGACGCTCAGTAAAGACTCACTGAAGAAACGCAGAAGTGAATGAATTGGTTGTTTAAAATGAGGGGCGCCTGGGTGGCTCGGTCGGTTAAGCATCTGCCTTCGGCTCAGGTCATGATCCCGGGGTCCTGGGATGGAGCCCCGCATCGGGCTCCCTGCTCCGTGAAGGGCCTGCTTCTCCCTCCCACACTCCCCCTGCTTGTGTTCCCTCTCTCGCTGTGTCTCTCTCTGTCAAATAAATAAATAAAATCTTTTAAAAATAAATAAATAAAAAATAAAACGAAGTAAGAGACTTCAGAAGCATCCCACTATTGGCCTTCATTCTCCTCTGCTGTGAGGTGTACTACAGTGAGGCATCGTGAGAGGACACGGGCTCAAGCTTTGTTCTAAGGACACCAAAAGCAGTAATTTTCAGTCTTGGCTGCACATTAGATTCACCTGAGGAGGCTTAACAAAATAAATGAATAAAAATGCCCAGGTTCCACCCCAGGCCAGTTACATCTGGATCTCTGTGGATGGGGCCTGAGCATCTGTTTATTGTTGTTGGGTGCACCAAGGGATTCTAGTATGCAGCCAGGGTTGAGAACCACTGGTCTGAAGGGTATGTTATATGGAAGGTGCAGTTGTAGATATGTCCTCAAGTCATTAATATTTAAGTGTAAAGTGATATTTCTTTCAGATTACATTTCTTATGAATGTTCAGGATGTATGTACATTTTGCCATGATCTGGAAGGTCCATCACAGTTTCCTCTTCTCACTAAAGATATTAAGATTTATTAAGATAGCAGTTAAAACCATGTCATGATAGAGAAGTCCTAGCTATATTTTGCCAGGTTATCCATGTGTACGTGAGACATTTCAAGAAAATACTTAAGCTGTCATCAAGAGACAGGGTAGTATTGCTTGACTCTCAGTTCTTTGACTGTCCTTACCTCCTTCCCTATCATCTGATACACAGCCTCTATTTGAACAGTGGCCGGAAGAGAAGGAGGTCTGTTCTTTTCTTTCTCACACTTGTGCTCAGCTACACAAAGGGGTGTCTAAATCTAAACCACTTAATAATGTCCTTATTCCTAGGAAAAGATGTGAGCCAGAGAGATCACAAGGTAATAGAAAGTAAGTTCTGAGCTGGGTGTTCTGCATCCATTGAGAGAGAACACTAACCACTCTGGGCTCCAGTGAGGAACTAAGGGGACCAGAGCAGAAATGTAAGTAGGGAAAACTAGACAATGTCACAGCACCTTGAATGGGGGTCCAAAGTAAACTGTATTTTTTGCTGTCCTAAGAATTGCCGGTAAAGTCAGACCTACCCCAATTCCAATGAATGTGTTTTTAAGAACTGTGATTTAGAGTTAAATAAATGATCCTTAGGTTTTCTGAAATTGGTTGAATTTCTGTGTAACTCTTTCACTCTGTCTGCTGGTTTGTCAAAGTAAAAAGTGCCCTTCTGGAAATGACCAGACAAGACAATCTTCATACTTGTCTGATGACCCATAGGAGCCTCACTACTATCCACTGAAGTAAAGACTCTGCACTTACCTTTGACTTGCTGCTGCCTAGCCTTAAAGAATTTTTTCCATTTCTTTCAGGAAATGGCCAGCCTCAAACGACAATTCACTGAACTGTTATCAGATATAGGCTTTGTAAAGGAGGGACTCAGAGCAAGGGAAATTGAGAAAAGGGCCCAAGGAGGAGATGGTATCTTGGACGCCACAGGAGAAGAGGTAAAGAATGTGTAGTTAGTTCTTTTATTTCTCTTTAATTAGCACATGGATAGTATATTAACTCACTTAATTTTTTACTTAAGCCCACTGAGCAGTGGGCTTAGTGAAATTCTTGATTTTCTTTCCACAAATAAGTGTCAGGAAACACTCCTAAAAACAGAAGGGTTTTTCTGTTAATTGTTGCTACTATTGTTTTTTTTTTTAATTTCACACCAGTTCTTTTTTTTTTTTTTTTTTTTTAAGATTCATTTATTTATTTGAGAGAGAGAGAGCACAAGCAGGAGGGGCAGAGGGAGAGAGCAACTCAGGGCTTGATCTCACCACCCTGAGATCACGACCTGAGCTGAAACCAAGAGTTGGATGCTTAACCAACTGCTCCACCCAGGCGTCCCCAAACCGGTTCTTGATAAGCTTATGAGAGGTGAAATAGATGTTTCAGTAATGTCTTCTTAAATCACACCAGCCTTTTTCCAATCAAGAATAGTTTTTTTTATATGACCAAGGAAGAACGCTTCTTCAAGATGAACATGATGCTTCCCTGTTCTCAGTGCAGTTAGTACTTTCTGCAGATCATGAGCATCTCATGAGCAAGAATCTCTGTCCACTGATCCTTAGGAACACTGGCTTTGTAACTGCTTTGCAGAGACCCAGAGTTACTGTGGGCTTCTTGGAGTGGGTCCTATGTGAATATGGTCTGGTAGACTTATTTTTTACTTAGAAAGAAAGAATTTTTCTAGCAAAAAGATAGAAATTAGGTATTTTAATTTAGTTTTGTTTTAAGATAGAAATCCAATGAAATATAATGGTAAATTCCAGGATACAAACAGAAGTAGCCACATTACTTATAAGATCAATGCTGTCTTTCTCTCATAGGCAAACTCAAATGCTGAGAACCCCAAGCTGATATCAGCAATGCTGTGTGCTGCTCTTTATCCAAATGTAGTGCAGGTAACAAAACGTTTTTCCTAGTTCCTCCCACTTCTTGTTTGATCTGTAGCCAAGGGACGTAAGTTAAGACATACACATTAATCATCTTAAAGAGATACATACAAAGACACACAGAGCCTTTTAAACTTTGTATACATTTCCAGTCCTTCAGTTCCCCAAATCTCTTCAGATAACATTGTTCAAGAACACATTTATTGTATAAAATGAGGTGCCTTTTTAATCCTTCTGACATGACATTCTAGAAATTTAAATGGACATAGATGTCCCCCTGCCAGCTAACGTGTGCATAACCAGCCTTCTATATTAGATAGACGCTTGATTCTACTACAGTTTCCGTTATGGCCTCTGCTCTGGACTACAGTTAGGTAAGAACAAAATCAAACAAGCCAGGGCTCTGCCATGGGACCAGCTGTGGCCAGCCTTCTGGAAAGCCCTCCTATATGTGCTGTTGGACTTTTACCTAAGTTTTAATTATCCAGTCCTTGTCAAACTTAGAAAGACTATGAATTTGTCAGAGTGCTAAATTGTTTCTCATTTAACATTTTGTTAAATGCTCGGTTGACATCTGCGGATGAATTTCTGGCACATTTTCTGCTCAGTACTTGCATGCTTTTCAAACCATTTGAAATTTATTTTAAAAAATCATTTGAAGCAAAAGTATGGAGACAGGAAAAAAAAAAAACAAAAAAACCCCAAGGATTGGGAGGAACAAATAGGCAGAGCATAGACAATTTTTAGAGCAATGAAAAGACTCTGCATGATACCATCGTAATACGTGCATGTCATTATACATTTGCACAAACCCATAGAATACACACCACCAAGAGTGAACCCTAAGGTAAACTATGGGCTTTGGGCGATTACAACAATGTGACACAAGTTTTTAAAAATTGTAATACTGGTGCTGTCAGAAGCCGCCACAGTGAACCCCCTCACTCTTAGTGGGAGTATAAATTGATACACCCTTTCTAGATTTCATTTCTGAGGACTTATTGATTAGGAAATAATTGCATGTATGCATAAAAATACAGCTAGGAGAATGTTCATTCTAGCTCTGTTTATAATTGCAAACAATCTAAGGTACCAATAATAGGGAATTTATTAGTTAAATTATTATAGATCCTCATAACTAGGTATAGCCATTTAGAATTACGTTTTAAGAAAATATTTAATAACATGGAAAGATGTTCTCAATGTATTAAGTTTAAAAAGTAGATTGTAGAAAATGATCCTACATTAGTTTCAATACGTATACATTTTTATTTATATTATATGTTTATAGTTTTCCTTGTGTATATAAACAAATCTAGCACCGAAAACTAAAATATTCATCAAATATAGTGCTAGTTATCTCTTAAACATGTGATTACAGGGTATCTTTATTTTCTTCTTTTTTCCTAATATGTTACTTTCTATAGTAACAGTGTATTATTTTTGCAAAACATATATGTGGATAATTCATATGTATGTATATGTGCACATAAACTTTTTCTTTTCAAATGAAACAATGTGTTTATTCATATAATTCTTTCCCTCTTTTGGAAAGAAATACATTGGGAAAAGTTGGATTAGGATTGAAGCAGATTCCTGCTCCACTGTTCCCAGCTGGATCTCTGCAGCTGAGATTCGGTGCAGACCTCTAGTAGCAACGTCCGTCCACTCCCATGTGGCTGGTGTGTGGTATAGTCTCCCAGAGCTGCTACACCTCATCCACACTTCTTGGTGGTTCAAAAAAAGAAAAGGGGGGGAAGTATGCTTATACTGCTTTCAAAAGGAAACAGGGAAGAAACAGCAAAAGCATTCAGACAAGACTGGTTTTGTGCCAAGGGATGCTTCCTGTCATGAAAAAATATATAATATATTCATATATATATATATTCCCTCCCCCCCCCCAAAAAATACCTGTTGTTTAGGTGAAAAGCCCAGAAGGGAAATTTCAGAAGACCAGTACCGGAGCTGTCAGAATGCAACCCAAATCAGATGAGTTGAAGTTTGTCACCAAGAATGATGGATATGTGCACATTCACCCTTCCTCAGTGAACTATCAGGTTGGAATGGTGGGGTACACCTATATTTACATATGGCAGGTCCTGCAGGGGGCAGCACAGTCCCTTCAAATCTCCTTCTATCGTTCTCTGTCCCCAGCAGCACCACTGACTTGGGGAAGGTTGAATAAGCATGAACAGACTAGAAATTGGACTGTTTGGGGAAAGACTATTTCCATTTTAAGAAAATTCTACTGGATACCAAAAAAATGCTCAAACCTGCTTTCAGATGTAAAATTGTTTCTCTGCAGTGGTGATTGAAGAAGTCAGGCTGTAACTGCATCCCTAAATGTGTGCCTTAAATGACCTGAACTTACCAATGGCACTGCCTCGGTGCTCCTTCCTCCCGCAGCTGCCAGGCTCTGCTCCCGCTGCCCCGCTCACCTCCCCACAGGTTATGCATCGCCTCCTTGTCAAACCCAGAGAACACGCTCTGGTCCTCCTCAGACTTGACTCTTGTGTAGTATTTGACAGCACTAACCTCCCGTCCTCCTGAAACTATCTTTGATGTGGTTTTGCTCCTGAAATGCCACCTTCTTCTCATTCTCTCTGATCATCCCCCGACACCTCTTTGACTGGTTCCTTTGCTCTGAAATAGTGGTTCTGTCCTTAGTCCTCATTTTCTCCCTACAGGGCACTTAATCTTCCCGAAGCACCAGAGCATGGCACTGTGGTTCTGACGGCTACCTACAAGCGGCCACAGAGCCCCAGATCTCTCTCTGGGCCTGGGCTTCTTCGGAGCTCTCCTGCTGGAGATCATCAGCTGGATGCCTGCCACTCACCTCAGACTCTATCTCCCACTTCCCTCTTCTCTTCCCGTCTTCCGTGTCTTGGTGAACGGCCCCCTCCCAACCAGAACCCTGCACTCACAGAGACCCTGCCGCTCTTCTCCTTACTCCGGTCCATTTGGACCCCAGGTCCCAGCAGTTGCCCCTAACGACACTCTCAGATGGGCCTCCTCCCCTTCTCCCCACCGTCCCTTCCTCAGTTCAAATCCCGAAAGTGCTGTCACGATCTGACTTCCGGTCCTTCCTCTCCAGCCTTTTACAGTCCTGCTGCCAGAAGTAACTTAGCAAAACACACATTCAGTCGCGTCATTCCCTGGCTTAGAACTCTTCCTACATGGAGTCTCCTGCAAACGCTCCTGGGATCCTGTGTGCCTGGCCCCTCCTATACCATGTCCCGCACCGTTCCCCCCCCACCCCCGGTCCTTCTGTGTGCCATGACATTGGACACACTTCCTCAGAACCTGGAATGACGTTCTCATTCTCAGCAGGCTCCTAGCCTTCGAGCTTCCATGAAGAAGCTCTCCCTCAAAGTTGCTCTTTATTTCTGGTTCCACCATCGTGTGGCATGCATTTTATCCACTGTTGCGCTTATCACATTGTTTTATAGTTTGTGGTACATCTCCTTTGTGGAATTGTGAAATTCCTAAAGACAGGAATTGTATGGTAGACATTTTTGTATTCTCAGTGTCTAGCGTGGCGCCTAGCAGAAAGCAGATGCTCAATAAAACTTAGGAGATGGAGCAAAAGAGGACAGGAGGACGGAGGAAGAGAATTTGAAGTGTTAGGGCTGGTCAACCCCCTGCAACTACTGAGTAATGTGTCAGCAGAGCATGAAAAGGGTCTCCTTAAGCCCAGAAGAATCTGAGGCCCGGAGGTCATCTGGTCTCTCAGCTGCACATGTACTTAGGAGCTAGAGGGCTGAGCTAGCTCTACTCCTTCTCTTCTGACTTTACCATGACAGTCATGCAATGAATCCAAATTATTCATGCATCCATTCAGTATCTACTAGCAACTCCTCTGTGCCAGGCACGGTTGTGGGCCATGGAGGGCAGTGGATGAGCTGGACAGACAAGGTCTCTGTCCTCAGGGAGCTTCTGTTCTGCTGAGGAAGGCAGGCAAGAAATAAGTAAACAGATCACCTCAGGTTAGTGACAAATGCTATCAAGAAAAAGAAAACCGAGTAAGAGGTTGAGAGTGACAGGAGAGGGGCCATTTTGCTGAGAGTGGTCAGGGAAGAACCGTCTGAGGAGAAAACGACTGAGCAGATCCTAAATGCAGTGAAGGGCGAGCCATGGAGATATCTAAGGAGAGAACATTCCGGCAGAGGAAACGAGACGGGAGCACACTGGCGCACTCTGGGGGCGCAGGCCAGCGGCTGGGACAGGCGGGGTGCGCTGTGAGGTGCCGGAGGAGCCGCTGTGCTGGGCCAGGTTGTGGGGGGCCTCAGAGGCCATGGTAAGGGTCTCAGATTTTATCCTCCAAGTCGCTGCAGGCTTTTGCGCATGGGTTTTTAAAAGATCACGGTGGCTGCTGGCGGGGAAGAGACCATGAAGGGGTAAAACAGAAGGCAGGTGAGCGCTTAGGAAGCCGTGACCGTGGTCTGTGCAAGTCGGTGATGCTCTGAGCTGAGGTGGTAGCTGTCACGGCGGGGAGAATATGTCAGTTCGTTATGTATTTAGAAAAGAGAACCGACAGGCCCTAGTGATAATTTCGATGGAGTGAGGGGAAAGAGCAGTTGAGGATGGCTTCTAAATTGGGGACGTGAGCAGCGAGGTGAATGGGAACATCATGTACTGAGCGGGAGGGGAATACCGTAAAGAGGGGGAAATCAAGAATTCATTTTGAACGAAAGTCCGAGATGCTTATTAGAGATCCAAAGTGAGACGTCAAGAAGGCGATTGCACGTGGAAGCCTGGACTCGGGGGACAGGTACCGGCTGGAGAGAATTTGGGGAGTCGTTCATAGACAGGTGATACTTCAATCCGTGGAATGGGGGGAGCTCCCCTCCGGCTGCCAGTGTCGTCATCTGAGGTTTTCTGTTCCAGGTCAGACACTTTGACAGCCCCTACCTGGTGTACCACGAAAAGATCAAAACTAGTCGGGTGTTCATCCGAGACTGCAGTATGGTGTCCGTGTACCCACTGGTCTTGTTCGGGGGAGGCCAAGTGAGTGTGCAGCTTCAGAGAGGGGAGTTTGTAGTGTCCTTGGATGATGGTTGGATCCGTTTTGCGGCTGCTTCCCATCAGGTAAGGGCTAGCGGGCCTGTCTGTGAGGCGCAGGCCCTGAGGGGCTTTGATGCTGTGAAGTAGAGGGCATTCCTTCAGGCGCTACAGACAACAGAGCTGAGGAAGAGTGAACTATGGGGGGGTGGGGGGGACACGGAGCACAACCCAGGCTAGGAGCGAGGCCAGGGCTGGAGGCTCAGTGAGAGCCTGGGCAGTGCACGGGGAGGGGAGCCCAGGATGGGCTGGTGTGAAGGGTTCGGGGCAGAAGCCATGAGTGAGATGTTGGACCTTCCTAATTGTTGTACAAATAACACATGTTCACCAAAGAAAAATCAGAAAATATAGATGAGCAAAAATAAACAAAAATCACCCTGATTCTACCACTACCATTAAGAAAAAAAAAAAAAAGGAAGTGGGTCTGAATTCTTTTATTCTCAGGTCTCACATATTCACTATTGGAATCTCTGCAGAAACATTTAAGGGGGAGTATATGTTTAGGAAAGAAAAATTCATTTTAACATTTGCATCTGGCAGAAAGGTAGCAGGAAGCAGAAACACCAACTCAAACATTAAAGAGAATTTATCGGCACATTTAACTATAAAGTCTAAAGCAGCATAGTCCAATAAAAATATGTGAGACATATAGGTAAGTTCAATTTTTCTAGTAGCCACATGTAAAAAATAGGTGAAATTAATTTTATTTAACCTAATATAGTTAAAAAGTTTTAATTTCAACACGTAATCAGTATAAGAATTTATTGAGATGTATTTTTTTTATATTAAATCTTTAAAATCTGGGGTGTATTTTACACTCACAGCACATCTGTTTGAACTGGCCATTAGATTAGCCACGTGTGACAGGTGGCTGCCGTATTGCACAGAACAGGTCAGGAAGGCCAGGCAGGGTTGGTTTAATTCAGCAGCTCAAGGACAACAAAAGCCTGGCTGACCTCATGGTAGCAGCATGGCTGCCATAGCCCCAGGCCTCACATCTGTGTGGCAGCATACTGTCCAGGAGGGGAGACAAGAAACTTCCTCTCCTAAATCAATTTCTATGGACAAAGGAATGTCATAAACTCTAAGGCCCAGATGATCTGAGCCATTCACTCTGGCAAAGCTCATGGCATGAGCCTGTTTGAGTTGGGTCAGGGTGCAAACCACATGGTTGCCAAATGATGGGGGAGCGGCAAACCACGTTGGGAGGACATCTCCAGTGCCCACCACACATCAGCATAAGAAAATGCCATAAAAAAATGTGGAGCTATTTCTTCCCATGAAAGCATCAAATGTATCCCAAAGCTACAGATTTTTTTGGTTTAATATCCAGCATTTTTAATTCTCCGTTTTCCTGCTTCTCCTCTTGGAGCAAATTGTAAACGTTGACCAGGCTTTAATATGCAGAACACTACGTAGAAGCCATTCTCCCAGATTTAATCTTTTCTTTAAATGAGATGTGATAGAGGAGCGTTTTTATAATAGACCCCATTGGGGCGCCTGGGTGGCTCAGTCGATAAACGTCTGCCTTCGGCTCAGGTCATGATCCCCCCTCAGGTCATGATCCTGGGATGGAGCCCCGCATCGGGCTCCCTGCTCCTCGGGAAGCCTGCTTCTCCCCTCCCCCACTCCCCCTGTTTGTGTTCCCTCTCTCGCTATGTCTCTCTCTGTCAAATAAATAAATAAAATCTTTAAATATATATATATATATATAATAGACCCCATTTATTATATTGCAGAGCTGACATTGCATAAATGTTCTTATAGCTGCATCAAGAAATTTTAGAAGCCCTTTTAGAATAAATATGTGTTTAGTTTCTCCTCCCCCCCCCCCGCATGGAGTTAAAATTACTACCAGAAATCTAGAATAATGATAATCATCAGTGGGACATTTCCTTTAATAACCTTTCCTCCCCTGTTGACCCAATCACTGCTCACATTGCAACTTTCATTTTAGGTGGCTGAACTAGTAAAGGAACTCCGCTGCGAACTTGACCAGCTTCTCCAGGATAAGATAAAAAACCCAAGCATAGATCTGTGTACATGTCCTCGAGGATCCCGGATCATCAGCATGATTGTGAAACTTGTCACCACACAGTAAAGACCAGTCTTAGGAGAGTGCTTGCTACTCCCCTGCTTCTTGCTCACCTGGGAAATAAGAGCAGGACCTCTACCTCCAACCAGGCTCTGTGCTTGGGCTGCCCTGGTGAAGGAGCCCAGGGCAGGCACTGTGCAGTCAGCTGAGGCCCCACACACACTTAGGGAAGGTTCCCAGACCTTCTGTATTTCGACAGAACAGGGACACTCCCTGCACAATTTGGAGCGTCCGTGCGAGGCAGTCTAAAAACCAGCTTGCCTGTCTTTTTCTCTGTGACTATCCCGGAATGAATGAAATTCACCTCATCATACAAAAGTGAATGTTTAATACGATTCTGTTTTAATCTATGTATTTTTTTCTCTCCTGCTTTTTTACTAGGGTGAGATAGGAGCATGAGGAGAAATACTGAATGTTTTTTTCTATCATAAAGGCTCATCTGAAAGAAGTTAGAACAGAGAAGGACAAAAAAAAATCGTGAGCGAGAAAAATTAAAATTTCATTTTTAGGCTATTGGCTATAAAGTAAACTTAATCTGTAAGGGATTTTTATTTTTACTCATTAAAGTTCAGCCTAAAAAACAAACTCGAAGAGCTCTTGTTTGTTATTAAAATGCAAGCTGGTTTTATCCTTACCATTCTTATTCTCAAAAGCAGAACAGTCTAGGTGTCTTTGTTTTGTTTTTGGTTTTCCATTTAGGAGTCTCTGCTCTCTCTTAGGAACACACCCAGCTCTAATGGCCACATTTCACATTACCCAGCGGGGAATTTTGATGGTCTTCCCGGAGCGGACTTGGCACAGTCGAGGTAGAAAAGGTTGCCCTGCTAGTGTCAGATTCACAGCCATAAAAATATCTTCCAGGAGGCTGCTTGTTTTCACCCGCCACTTAGGTGAATGGGGAGCTAGCATTTTGAAAAACTATCAATACATTTACATATTCTCTGGACATTTATCCATGCCAGGAAACATCCCAAAGAGCTGAGTAGAAAAAATATTCTTATGTTTGTCTGGCAATCAGGTAGAGTCACTGCAGATTTCATGCTATAGATGGAATTCAAACTAATCAGCAGAACCACCTCAGTGAAGGGAGTTCACTTTTCACAGTATTATTTCAGTTACATTTTCAGGAAACCTCCTGGACTGTCCAAAATGGTCATTATCAAGCGTGTTTAGCTTTGGCGCACTCGAAGAGCTTAGACTCTAAATAGTATTTTTAAAATATTTAAAATAATACTATCTAAAAATAGTATTTTAAAAGATTCATGTCATCACTTTAAATAAAAAACACGTATATGCATAGCACGCACCCACAGTATTCAAGTTCTGACTTGCTACCGAAACAAGGCTCACATTACATAACTGCTCAGGAGAAATGAAGGAGAAGACCACACTCACCCTCTAAAACATTTTTTTGAACCAGTTTTGACTCACGGTGCTATAGTGGAACTGATGCTGGCCACCCTAGCTGGAGCCACCTGCCCACTGGACCCACAGCTTTCCACACAGGTTTGCAGCAGAGATACAGTGGGGAGAAGAGAAACAAGAGAACTTTCCATCCAGAGTGCTGAGAAATCGCTCCCCTCGGGGAGGTTATTCTTGGGCTGGTCACTTGCAGCCACATACAAATGCACAGCTCATTCCACAGATGTGCCAGAATGTGGAAAAGATCGGAAAGCCTTGACTGAGGACACTGAATAAGAAAATCCTCCCCGCCAAAACTGAACTTAAGCCCCCTCATTAAAATTATGAAGTAAATGAAACAGGATTACTTCTTCGCAATTGAAGATCAGCATGCTGTAGAGCATTTTAAGGTGAAACCAGATTTCTAAGCCCCAGCAAGATGGTCAGCATTTAATGTTAATTTTATGGAGAATTCTGTAAATGTTTCTCAAGTATTTGTTTTGCTGGAATCTAGCTGGGAAACAATATTGGTAAAGTTCTTGCTACAAAATAAGTCTGTGTTAGGGTTTTGTAGTCTGTGTCTTTGGGGAGTTCTCAGGAAATGAGAGTAGGTAAACATTCTTTCTTGCAGAGGTGGTCATAGGTTGGCAGAGCATTAGCTTTGTCTTCTTCCTCCTTGAGTTCCGTATCTGAATATTATAATTCAGACTCCCTTGTCAGTATTGAACTTTGGTCTTTTATCCTCCCATTCTGTTATTCGAGCGGTTTAACTAATATACCAAGCACACAGCCTGTGGATCTGTAGGCATATGGTAAATGTTCTTTTTTTTTTTTTTAAATCTTATTTATTTATTTATTCATGAAAGTCAGAGAGAGAGGCAGAGGCAGAGGGAGAGAAGCAGGCTCCCCCCCTAGCAGGGAGCCCGATGCGGGACTCGATCCCAGGACCCTGGGATCATGACCTGAGCCGAAGGCAGACGCCCAACCGTCTGAGCCACCCAGGCGCCCCAAGTTCTTTTTCCTTTCTAGGCGGTGGTTTGAGTATGTCCCTAAGAGGTTATCCTAAAATAAGACCTTGTGAAAGTACTTTGTAAAATTAAAATGTAGCAAATGTAAGCAAATTGGGACCAAGGGTGTGGTTTTCAGATGCAGCCCAGGCTGGCTTTTTGCGAACTGCACTCTGTTGGGTTTCTCAATGGCTGGGCTGAGCTGGGGAGCTCAGGCGTCACGCTCGGAGGGTCCCTTGTGGGTGTCACCTCGTTGCCACAGAAATGAGGATCCCTGGGGGCAGCAGAATTATGCTCACACTGCCATTGTGCTTAAACAAGCCTAGGCAGATGCTGGCTCTTTCCTCCTCAGTCGTGCTAGAATTAAGCGGAATTCCTAGGGCTTGTTTTCTCCCAAATGCAGGGGGAAAGTTGGCTTAAAATATTTAGCCAGTTAATAAACACAGGGTGAGCTACTGTCTTCAGAAGTTAGATCTTGATCATGAAACTGTGTTAGTCAATACTTGAGTACACACAGTACGGTGCCTCAGGTGGAAACTATAGAAACAGCTAATCCAATGTAGTGTCACAGCAATAGTTTCAGACTGTTCCAGAGTGACCGGCTTCCATGTCTTTTTAAGTCTCACACATGTAAAGCTGTGTAATGACTGTGTAAACCATTAACCACGATGAGTCATTACCAGGAGAGACTTTTTTCTTGCCATTTCTAAGTTATCCACCCCCCCCAAAACCATATATCAAAGAGACTAGTCTTAAATAAGATTTATAGCCAATCACTAATCCTTAAGGTGCTTTAAAATCTTAAATGTCTTAATAATTTGCTTTGTCAAAGAGCAGAGAAAGAGTTGTGTTGGAAATCACTTGCCTGATACATGAGCCATCAGGTGACATCGATATTTCATAAAGATACAGGAGAGCAGCCCAAACGTGAACTTGTTCCCACAGACGTTTGAGCCTCTGCCCCGTCTTTGCCGAATGGGGGCCATCCCCGAGTCTACTCCTGAGTCAGTTCCAACCCAGCTGAATAAATAAGCCAGGACACAGTGCCCCAGTGAGAGCTAGGAGGAGGAGGATGGCTTAGAATCCATTTACTGGATTTCTCCACCTGTATTTCAACTTTTTTTTTTTTTTTTAATTCATTTGAGACACAGAGATACAGAGAGAGAGAGAGAGCATGAGCAGGGAGAGAGGCAGAGGGAGAGGGAGAAGCAGGCTCCCCGCTGAGCAGGAAGCCCGATGCGGGGCTCGATTCCAGGACTCCGGGATCATGACCTGAGCCGAAGGCAGACGCTTAACCATCTGAGCCACCCAGGCGCCCCTGTATTTCAACTTTTTAGGAAAGAAACAAATCGCAACAAAAGATGATTTGTATGAGGGATTTGTTTGAAAAGGCAACTTCCCAGGGGCGCCTGGGTGGCTCAGGTCCAACTCTTGATTTCGGCTCAGGTTGCAATCTCGGCGTGGTGATATCGAGCCCCGTGTCGGGCTCCACGCTTAGCGGGGAGTCGGCTTAAGAGTCTCTCCCTCTGCCCCTCCCCCTGCTCGTGGGCTCTTTCTCACTCACTCGCTCTCACTCAATAAATAAATAAATTCTTTTTTTTTAAAAAGGCAACTTCCCATAAATACCAACAATGAAAATCAGCGTTTAGGATGATAACCCTGACATTACAAATACAATATTCCTAAATATGGTATCATAATGTATTTAATAAACATTTTCAACAGAAACATTTCGAACAGTGAGGGTTTTTGTTATTATTATTCTTTATGCAGAAAAATGCAGTTACTGCTACCTCTTCCAACCTAGGTTTTACGGAGAATGGCCTGAAGGAGTTAATTTTCCTTCCAAGTCGAATGAGCTTATTTTTATAAAGGGGAGATTATCCATGGCCGGTTTTCTTCTAAATGATTCAAGACAGGATAACATAGCCAAAAAGACTCATTTACTTCCTGAGAGTCCCCTTTTAATAAGTTTTGCCTCGTTCCATCCTTAAGTTTCAAATGTATTAAAACAAAAGAATGTTAACCGTTCAAGTAAGACTTTATTTGTCCATAGAGGTTGATTAACTACAATACAGGATCTTACCATGTACAAAGACTATAGAGAAGTTTCCTCACAGGACAAAATGTATATTTTGCTTGTTTTAAACCAGTGGTCCTCAACTGGAGGCAATTTTGCCCACCAGGGAACATTTAGCAATATCTGGAGACGTCACAACTGAGTGGGGATTGGGGTGTGCTCCTGGCATCTAGTAGTTAGAAGCCAGAGATGCTGCTAAATATCCTACAATGCATAGGATCCTTCTCGAACAAAAAATTATCCAGTTCAAAATGTCAGTAGTGCCAAGGTAGAGAAAACCTTTTTAAACAAAATGAGATAGGTGACTACTTAAAAAGTCTAGCTATTAGTTACTAATCAGATATAAATTATGCCCACAGTGGTCTCTGAAACTTATGCTTAAATCAACTCTAATAAACATGTACTGTGTGAATAAGAGCGTATGAGTCCATCATGTTGTTACCAAATGCAGAGTACTTAAGAATGTGAGGAAATGGGGCGCCTGGGTGGCTCAGTTGGTTAAGCGACTGCCTTCGGCTCAGGTCATGATCCTGGAGTCCCGGGATCGAG